GCTTTGACAGCATCCTGCGTTACTTTTGTAACAGTGGGCCAGCAAGTGTTATCCTTTAGGGCTTCGCCCCCTGCCGCCGGCCCCGTCTCTCGGATAATGCGCTATGCAAGGGCCATGTCATGAGGCCTGGGCGCTGTCGGGAAGCGGTATCGGAGCTTCATGTGAGGCCGGCTCGTGATGAGCAAAACCAATAGATGACCAGAGGGGTCGCCACACCTGGCGATCGGTAAGACGTTGTGACCCTGCCGATCTGCGTGAGGGGTGCCACCGAATTTTTAAAAGCGTGGTAAGTCTTTATTGTTTTTGGACCATGACCCTACGGATCCGCGTGAGGGGTGCCACCGAATTTCGGGAATGTTGAGAATCCCATGGGTTTTCGGACCCTGACCCCGCCGATCTGCGTGAGGGGTGCCAGGGGATTTTAGAAACGTGGCAAATCCCATATGTTTTTGGAGCCTGACCCCGCCGATTTTGCTTGAGGGGTGCCACCGAATTTCAGAAATGTGGCACATCCCATATGTTTTTGGACCCTGACCCCGCCGATTTGCGTGAGGGGTGCCAGGAAATGTCAGAAATGTGGCAATCCCATGTGTTTTTGGACCCTGACCCCGCCGATTTGCGTGAGGGGTGCCATCGGATTTCAGAAATGTGGAACATCGCATGTGTTTTTGGACCCTGACCCCGCCGATCTGCGTGAGGGGTGCCAGGAAATTTTAGAAATGTGGCAATCCCATATGTTGTTGGACCCTGACCCCGCCGATCTGCGTGAGGGGTGCCAGGAAATGTCAGAAATGTGGCAATCCCATGTGTTTTTGGACCCTGACCCCGCCGATTTGTGTGAGGGGTGCCATCGGATTTCAGAAATGTGGAACATCGCATGTGTTTTTGGACCCTGACCCCGCCGATCTGCGTGAGGGGTGCCAGGACATTTCAGAAATGTGGCAATCCCATATGTTGTTGGACCCTGACCCCGCCGATCTGCGTGAGGGGTGCCATCGAATTTCAGAAATATGGCAACTCCTATGTGTTTTTGGACCCTGACCCCGCCGATCTGCGTGAGGGGTGAAATTTTTCACCCACCCCAGCAATTCAGAGCACACGCTCAGGGCGTGCTCTACCTGTTCGTTTTGGCCCCCCCCCTCGCGCGGTCCATCAACAAGGAACAGTAATCAGCAAGAAGCAGAACTGTAAAAGTGGAAACTGGAAGCTGCAACTGGCACAGGAAACTGCAAGCCTTCGCCCTACAGCAGCCTGGTGGCCCCACAAGGGGGCCAGCGGATTTGCGCCAGCCCTGACCACACTCCGAAAGCACTCAGCTATCTCCATCTAGCCGTCCCCCACCTCGCCTCCAACACGCCGCGGGCAAGTTACTTTGAATGCACGCCACCATCATTCAGGCCCCCTGCATCCAGGGCGTGGCCCCGCTCTAGCCTTGCCGTTGAATATTTCGTCTCGCGTAGCACAGCATCTTACGATTCTTTGGTTCAGCACCTTACGATTCCTAATTTCGCAACCAACCTCAGCCGTACCGATGAGGCAGCCATCGTTACTGTCGATTGTGCTGATGATTCTGGGATTGTGGGGGTATCGGCACACATGGGAAGGGATGTGGTGACTGGGGGAACTGACGTCTGGCCATTTTGGCTTTTGGCGGGGTGGTTCTGCCCGACTGTGGGCTGCCGTATTTTGCCCCTTCGCACCTCACGCATCATCATTGCCGCCTTTCCTAGAGACTTGTACTTCACATTATTAATAATAGTACTAGCGCTACCTCACTCTCTATGCGTCGCCTGCTCTGTATACTTTTCATTGTCATTCACGCTAAGTTCGGCCTTTCCGTCGCTCGGTGTCCTCTTTCGTGTGATTTCTCATCTGGCTATTCTCGTCTCGGTCGCCTATCTCTACTTCACCGCCTGGCTGGCGCATGCTCTTTGGCTTTGCGGTCCCACTGTCTTTTGCCTCGCTTCTCTTCTGATTTCTGCTACGCCAGCCAGGCGTGATTTGTTTGCCAGAAGGCCTAAGTCGGCTGCTTCACTTTTTCTAGAAAGCAACCGGCCCAGCCTCATGGCCGCCCAACGTCAAAACATCAGGACGAGGGGGAGAGGGAAGGGAGAGGAGGAAGGATGAAGAACAGGCGGGTGAGGAATAATCAGTGATCAGGATGAGGATGAGGATGATTATGATGATGATGATGCCGATGATGATAATAATGCTGTTGAGGATGACGGTGATGATGGTGATGGCGATGGTGATGTTGGTGGTAATGATGGTGATGATGTTGCTGATGATGATGGCGATGCTGATGCTGATGATGACCATGATGATACCGGTGACGATGACGCTGATGATATCGACGATGTCGATGATGATGATGATGATGATGATGATGATGATGATGATGATGATGATGATGATGATGATGATGATGATGATGATGATGATGAGGGGGAGGAGGAGGAGGAGGAAAGGCAACAGATGGCCAGAGACCTCTCGGATGCCTCGTGTAATCTCTTTCGGGCTTCTTTTCGCGAACTTGGGATCGTCCTGGGCCGTCTTGGGGGTCTCTCGGCCGCCCCAGGGGCGTCTTGATGCGTCTCAGGCAACTCTTGGGGGACCTCTTGGAACCTTTTGGGCGTTGGGGGCATTTTTGGGGCATCGTGGGTTTTTTGGGGGGATGGGGATCTCCCGTGAGGAGGACGACCAGGGGGGATGTTATATGGGGGCGACAGCAATGGGGATGTCAAGAGGCGGAGGAGAAGCAGGAGGAGGAGGAGGAGGATGAGGTCAGGTCAGGTCCGGTCAAGTCAGGTCAAGACATGTCTGGTCAGGGGGCGAAGGCTACCAGGGGGTGGAGGTTCAGGAAAAGCAGGAAGTGGAGGAGGAGGATGGAGGGAGGGATGATGATCGATCCTCGATCCTCTTGTGTTGGACCTGGCAGCTACAGTATTGATCCTGGGCCCCGCATGGCAGGCACCTATGGGCGTTTCAAGGGAGCGCCCTGGTATGTACCCTCGGGCGCTGGAGCCAGCCTGGGAAGCACCCCGGCTCGGTCGGTCGACTCGGCCGCGTCGCAGTCTGTCGCGCTTGGCCAGCACGGCGTGGCCGCTCGCCCTGCCGCCGCTGCGCCGCTCGGGCCGCTTGCGGCCTCGGCCAGCCTGTCGGCCGGCCTCTCGGTTTCGCTGCCGGCGGCCGTGGACGGCCGCCTGTGCTGTGCTGCCGTGGGCGGCCGCGGATCGCGCCGAGGCCTCGCCACGCCCGACCGCACGCCGCGCCGCACGCCTGGCGCACCGGCGACCCCGGACCGGCGGCCCATGCGGCCGCAGTCCTTGGACACGCCGAGCGCCGCTGGCCCTCCTCGCGCCGCCGCCGTCGCCCGCCGTCGTGTCAGGAGGCAGCTCCTCCGCCTCGGGGATTTCTCTGTAGTCACCGCCTGGGGGCTCGATCTTCGCGGACCTCCACAGGCGGTGGGCACGCGTACATATAGACTTACGTGCATACATCCATACATACATACATGCATGCATGCATGCATGCAGACAGACGCACATACATATATACGTGCATACCGACATACATGTATGTGTACGTATGTGTACATGTGTATATATACATATATATGTATGCATATATGTATTTATGTATGTATGCATGCATGTATGTATGTATGTGTGTATGTATGTATGTATGTATGTATGTACCGTATGTATGTACGTATGTATGTACACATACACACATAATGTATATACACGTACCTATACGACCACCCTTCGGGTGATAAGGAGGTTCGGGGGGGGGAGGAAGCAACGTCTCACTCGATCGGTCTCACTATCGTTCTCACTTCCGATCTCACTATCGGTCTCGTTCGATCGATCTCACCCGATCGATCTCACAATCTATCTCACTCGAACTATTTCATTCGATCGATCTCACAATCGATATGATTATCGATCTCACAATCGATAGCACTATTCGATCTCATTATCGATTTCACAGTCTATCTCACTGTGGGTCTCACTAGCGATATCACTATCGATATCACAATCGATCTCACAATCAACGTTATCATCATAATCGACATCATCGTCATCAACGTCAATAACATCATCATCATCGGGACACCATCATCATCATCACCTCATCACCATCATCATCATCACCATCATCATCGGGGCACCCTCATCGTCACCATCAGCATCATCAACACCATCATCGGGACACAATAATCATCATCATCATCAGAACACCACCACCATCATCATCATCATCATCATCATCATCATCATCATCATCTCCATCACCATCTCATCATCATCATCATGAACAGCATCGTCAACATCATCATCATCATCTGGACACCATCATCATCAGCAACATCATCATCATCGACATCATCATCATCGGGACACCATCATCATCGTTACCA